CTTGTGTGGATAAGGAAGAAAGTGACCATAGTGTTGGCTGGATATATTTTCAGTCCATTAACTATCCCTGTAATGGATTATAGGGAGAAGAACAGCTGAACATATTTTCTTTTGGTAGGTCATGCTGGGCTTATATTTAGGCCTAAAAGATTCTGATTGGACAGCCATAATTTTGAGAATCAGTTATTGATTAATCTCAATAGAGAGATTTACAAATAAATATTTTTAAAAATAAGTGTCTTTTATTTTTATCTTTAGTTAAATTTTTTTTATAATTTACTGTATAGTTATTTTAATAATTGAGACAATAATTTTGCTACTTTTCACTTTCAATACGTGATTACTTTATGAATGAGATCCTTTTTTTCTTCTACTTGAGTACATTGATCTTTGGATAATTTTACTTCTACTCTAATAACATATTGCCAATGTAACGATACTTATAATTAAGTAACAAAATCCAGCACAGTACTTTTTACAACTCTGTTTTTATATCACCATAATATATATTGGCCAAAACATGTCCCAACTGGTTTAGATAGTCAGGAAATCATACTCTGAAATATAACAAATACATATGTCCTTAGGTTTGAAGTTTGATCATCCAGGAGCCTCTGGATCGCTTTGGGCTTAGGATGTCTTCTACGTCATAAACAATTACAGTCAATTGGACGTTCATGCCGCTATTACGTCTTGATAAACACTACAACCTAGACTTAAATTGACGTACTCTGGGTTGACAGAAGTTTCTATAATGTCTAGCAGTTGGGAAGTCAATGGGTACATCTCTATTGCCCAAGGGATGATAAAGGTCTCTTCTCTGAGTTGTTGCTGGTCTTGTGCCACAGTGACACTATCCAAGGCGTTCCTACAGCAAAATTCACGTGAAAATGTCTTGGGACTAAAATTGATTTACCTCTTCAATGATAAGTTATACAGTATAGTCTCGATTTATGCGGATTTGGTTTACGCGTTTGGTTATTTACGCGGCACCTTGCCAGACCGACAATTTTTATTTACGAGGTTCATTCCATCATTTACGTGGGAAGCGGCGCGGGCAGGGTGCATACAAGGTCGCCCAGCTGAAGATATTTGTTTTTAGCTCATAAAATTCGTAGAAATTACCCGGCCAGAATATAATTTACATTGCTGTAATTCTTATAAGATGGTGATTAATTTGAATATAAACAACCTAAAATTTGCATTAGACATACAAATTTTAGATCTAATTTAAGAATTTTATTAGAGAGAGCAAAAATTGTATCTTGTGCAAAATATATGACGTTTATATTCTAATTATTCGCAGACTTGCAAGGAATCCAGCAATGTCAATTATATTATCCTAAACATAGTCCGAGACATTATTTATTACTAAACATAAAAACTTAGTCTTTTCTCCCAAACATTTCTCAGGGAGGGAGAGCCAGAAAGCGTGGGAAGAAGGGGGGGGGGAAAGTTGAGTCCATTATTTGAATGGACATTAGCCGTTTCTCTTAAAAATTAATTGTGTGTGCATACCATCATAAAATTAAATTAAGATGTTATTTTTACTACAACGTACTATTGTGTTGGAAAAAGTGTAGTTTGGGGGTCGGCCCAGTCTCTATTTCAATTAATCCCATATGTTCTGTTATTTCATTTACGCGTTTCTCGTTTCACGCGGACCTCCACGGGTTCACTTGACCGCATAAATGAAGACTATACTGTAATTGTTTGTATTTTGGTAAAGTTATTATTAAATTTGGTAATTAAACAAATCATATATTAGAAGACAGGAATTTCACCTCCCACCAAACAATATAAGTTTCCTTTCTTACTATTCATTCGAGCAGCACATTAAACACCTATACACTTTATCTTGTCCAGATAACTAGATGTGTAAGATTATAATCAACTTAATACAAGGTATTCTAATATAGGTATTTAGTATAAAGAAATATTTTCATTTAATTTAAATACATCTGGATACTTTTTGCAACAATCACATTTAAAGATTTTGCTCCTTGTTCACGAGTGTTTATTATTAATTGTTTTAATGTACTTAACGCATTTTCTGTTTTCATTTTTTGGGTCATATAACCCTACTTTTTAACACAAGTATTACTGTGATGTTACTTCTTTCAAGTAAGGTTTCATTAGGTAATTTCACCTAAAAAGTTCTAAATAAGAATTTTATGTGCACACTACCCAAGGGAAGCTGGCCTGAAACTTCATACACTACTGTATATCCTCATTAATTCGATAAAAAAGGGGCTCCAGGTCACCTGAATTACTAAAAAATCCGAATTGACTGAGTTTGGAATATTTTGATAATATTCAACAATTTCTGAATTTTTCTGTTCAATTATTCGTTCATTTTCTGTTCAGTTTTTGCACCTTGCATTGGCTGCCACCTAAAATAAACTATTTATAATTACTGTGCAAACATAAATACTATTTTAAATGCACATACAGTAATAATAAAGTAAATAATACTGTAATAAATAAATATAACACTGCGAGGTGAGGTGACGAGGTGAGGAGGGGGGAGGCGGGGTGACGAGGCAGAAAATGAGGTGATGTGACGAAGGTCTTCCACAGCACACACATTAACAGCACTACTAAAACATTGTCTTATAACAATTTAATTTCGAATTTCGAATTTAAAATTAAATGATACATGATGGCACGATTGGCTACTTTTGCACTGAGACAACTAATCAGTGAATAAACCAGGGCATATACATTATACACTGCAATAATATTTATTAAGTTCTGATATATACGCTACATTATTATTTATTAAGTGCTCAAAATAGATCCTGTGGTAAGCACCAACCCCTTTGAGCAGTGACATGGTGCTTGAGAGATGGTGAGTGTTGGCAACTTTGTTAAGGAGAGCAGGAACGATCAGCTGTTACTGCTTTGTAAACAAGAGACTAGGAATATACTACAGTGCAATTGCTCATTTGGGATTGAATGTGGGATTTTTGGGGGAAAATTAATTATTTCTCAATAATGTTTTATTAACCCGGTACCAAATGAACCTAAATAATATGGGAATTATGATGAAATCGCAAACTGTCGTTTTAAAGGGATCGCGGGCTGATGAGCACCGGAGACGAGTTGTCCTCTACTTCCTTCCTCCACCACCCGCCATCTCCTCTCCTCTACTACACACCCAAATGTAGATTTGTACAGTATCTTAATATAATTCATATTATATTCCTGTAAGTTATTCATTTTAATATCTATTTCATATATTCCTATAATAATAATCGACCTTTTGGAATATCTCGATTATTTCAGATTCATTCTGAATTCAAATTATTTAATTCATTAACCCTTTCACCGCGTGTCACTCACTTGCCATTTTATTCTGGCTACTGCCAGACCATTTTATTCAGCTTAGGGTAACCTCCCGCTGTGAAAGGGTTAAAAAATAAATAAATAAAAATAAAAAATAAAAAATAAATTTAAATTCACCCAAAAGCTGAATTATAATGATCTGAATTAATAAGGGTACAATGTACTGTACTCATCTGCAAGACTTCATTTGTGTGAGTGGAAAAGACACATCGTTGCAATGTGAGAAATTTTGACAAATGTAAGATTATCAGGGAATCACTTGGAATTTAAAACTAATAAATTTACTTTAATTACAGTACATTATCTACAATTTTAATTAGTCAGGTTGTACAATACTGCCCAGAGTATTTTTATTTAAATGTGCGAATGTTGCTTCCACACACCAGTTAGTGCATCTCATCGGTTGGGCATGTAAAGCTATAGTAATTCATTATCTGGCTACATATATGAATAATTATGAATAACTATTCGAAGACTTTAGCATTAAAATAATTACATAGTTTCGAATATTTTATACATGAGCATATAATCCAGATTTTTATTATACAGTATACCTATTGAATTAACCCTTTAACTGCTATCACAGTCTTCAGATGATTTATTGCAAAAGCACCATTGTTGTCTCAAGACAATTGGCATTTGGCACCATAAATTTAAAGCTGTGTGCCAAAAATCATACAAAGAATGGTAATTCAGGTAGAAACCCTAGAGCGAGACACAGGGAAGGTGGAGCCTCAGAATCAACTTCCTATCATTATCTTGAAATGATTTGGAATTATTTATGCCTCATCCCCTTCCTGTCCTCAGTGGCCCCTCATCCACACCTACGACACCACAGCCTGGCTCACCACCTACGTGGAGCTTACCTCCCACTTAGCACCACAAAAACCCACTGCTGCACCACCACAATCACAGCAGTTGCCAGTTACACACACCTCACTTCACAGACTCACAACTTGCCACTCATGATAGTACTGTACAAAGTTTTCATTTGGTTTTTATGTCTTCTAAATTTTATATCTTTAATTTCAAAAGTAAAAAAAATAATTTTCACAGGTCATTTTATTTTGCAGTACTGTCTATGGAGTAACCTCGATTTCCCAAATGCGACAGTTATTAAGTTAAAAACAAAAATATAGCGCGAACAATATTATTCCCACATATATCTGTTGACTTGGCCAATCAGACTCTATCTTTAAGGATGGGTATATCTACTGTCTTATGAAAACATGGAAACCAGTTTTACTATAACATTACAGCACATTATATATTATGTACCAATCTTAAGGCAAATTGGCTAATACTTCGCTAAGACACAATCGGCCTCCAAATACTTCTTCTAACGTAGAAACTGGTTCATTAAAATGCCACCATGAGGCAAGTCTCTCACTCCCTCCCCCAAAAATATAACACTGCATATTACCACACCATGTGTGTTTTAAATGTAGAACAAAGTGGTTGATGCTCAATTAAATTTCATCTGGAAACAAATATCAGAATAAAAAAAAAAATTTAATTATAAAATTTCATAACCGTAACCATATAATAACAACAAATCAGTGATCCTTTCCACACCAGCATAACAATGACTATTTGTATGGAAAATTTTGGTATATATAAAGGTAAAAAAAATACAAAAGAAACACTGGGAATACACCATTTCTCTTTTATTTGCCATGTGGCTTAATGATGGTGAAACTTGCCTATACACACACAATGTACAGGGAACGTACCAATGCAAACCAATGAAGCTGCGGAAACCAATGATAATACAGACTATACGGCATGACAAAAGCCCCACATGAATGAAAAGCAACTTGGAGGGAAGCAGCCAATCTTCCAGTGGGATTCCATAACTGTTACATAATAATTACTGTCTTACTCACTACAAATATATACAAAAATCTTACTCCACCAAATGAAACATACAACTGAATGCTGAAACTCTACAAAATATGACCAATCTTGGAGTGCCAGCGTTGGAGGGAAAACAAGACTGGACATGGGCACCACAGTGCCCGAGGCTCCTTGTCTACAGAGGAACTATAGTTTGGGATTAATAAAATAAATCAATATACTTTTAACAATTTTTTCTGTATGTGAGGCCTCACGTATCAATTGCTCAATTAAAGAGTAACTAGGTCACTTCTGAAATAACTATAGAAGAAGGTCAGGAGAGGAATTTTCTAACCTGAACTTCCAGTCCATCACTACTTCCACAAATCTGACAAGTAGCCATATCACCAGTCCTGGGGCCAGCACTCTCATATTCCTTTCCTAGTGGAGTCATGAGCCACTCCTGCACACTTAAACTACACTTAATCACTTTGGTTATATTGTCTTTTGCCACTTTCCACAGTTACTTTTTAAGAGCACTTTCCAGGTTTGCCTGAGGTAATCACTTCACACTGACAAATATTTATTGTTTATAATTATCAGGAAACATAGAAGTTTCTAGCCTTTTTATCTTCCATATAATTCATATTGTTTTCTTAGTTGTTGTGAATGAAGGCTAATTCTTTAACAAGTCATCAACAGTAGTCATTTATGCTCATTACTCCAGTAACTTATGAAATTTTCCAGAAACAAGCAATATTTTCAAATCAACAGGAGTGATCAGCCAAGTAAAGCAGAATTTTCTTTCAGGAGGCTGCCTTTCCCAAGTCCACTAAAAGGTCCAGGGATGACCCCACATTATAGCACTTTTTTTCACACACACCTACACTGTCTGTCACTTCCAAAAGGTCATGCTACCTCCCTCGCCAGTCCACAAGTAGCCAGTAAGTGAATGATGAGCAAGTTGTTCCCAGCCGCGTTTGCACCACAGGTGGCTGGCATTGATCCTTTGGCGCTCTCTTCCCTGGGCTGGCCCCAGTCACTTCTGTGTTCCAACAATAAGTTATCATATCTTTGCCAACATTAATTTTCTTTGTAGAATAACAACAGTTCAATAAACTTTCTCATAGAAAAATAATAAACCATTATAACATGATATTTTACTCTCTAATCTTGATAACATCTCCTGCTATCTAACATTCAACTTGGTGATGTGCAAAGAAAATACAGGGGTTAGGGAAGTTTCCTCAAGTACACTGTGTATCTACATTAATGCCTTTGGTATAGAAGAGTTGAGTATGTAAGGCTCTGTATATAAGTGAACTATATTAATGGTACTTACATTCATAACAATAGTATACAACAGTCTGACAACAGCAACTGTTACCCTCCTCATAGAATAATAATCTCTCTGTACACTAGACATGTAAGTCACAACCCAATGGTAAGAATTGCACATAAGGCTGAACTGAACCACAGCTAACGTGCCACTAGCAGCTTCACTGGACCTACCCTGGCTGGCTGCCATATATCCCTGCCCAACAACGATGGTAAAACACCATCAACAACTTTCACAATACCGTGGCTAACAAATGCCCAGAAAGTCTTTCCATTCCAGGCTCGCAACAACAAGTTCACACTGCGGCAATTTAAAAAATGACATTTAAGGTGGAGAAGAATCAAAAAATATAGCAATGAGATATACACTTGCCATTCCATGAATTGCAAGTATTCTCATTATGAGGTAAATCATGAGTTTCATATACCTAGAAGAGAAATAATTTCCTTAATGTAATCAATGGTAAAAGCAAGGTAGGGAGCATGTACACATTACTTGTGGGTAAATGGGAAATAGAGATGCACAAACCCCTGGTACCCACCAAACTTTTCGCATTCCCCCCTTTTGTACTGGTAAAAGTTTAAATCACAGGACTGCTCTGGCATTGAAACATCACATTGGCTTCCCTCAACCCTAGACAAGAGCTAACATACCCCCCACTGTCTAAACATTTTTGGATAACTCTCTAATGTATTTAAAAAAATTTAAATTCATATTTTTTATAAACAAACTTTAAGATTGAAAAATCGTTTTTAAAACAAATTTTTCTGAGAAATACAATACAAGTATATCTAATTTACAGATTTCTGCACTTTAAAATCATAATTAGATATGTATATGCAGTTAATTTTAAAGTTAGGCCATACAGTCAATACATCATTCACAGGTACATACATAATTTATATCATCATCCTTCAATGTCTTATTCATAACAAAATTAAACTATTAATTAGCTGTTAAAAATTAGGTTTTGTCCTACAATCATAGAGGTTAAAACCACAAAAATAATATTTTATTCCTGACAGTGGGGTGTATGTGCTCTGAGATAATACCACAGTAATACCATGGTACACCCTGCAACTTGCAATGACTGGTAGCAGGCAGGTCAAAAGGGATAGAAAGACCATATAGATGAGCGTACAGATGAGCACGTGGATGACCTGACACAACTGGCAGGGGTCAGATTACTTGGACAGTAGGTGCTTCAACATACTCTCTGTCTTGTTCTTGTCATTCCCACTATTAGTGCGACTGTCTTCCATCTGAAAGATAAGGGATAATGTACACATCCATGTTCTTCATTTTTCTTATTTTATAGTTTTATATTTTCTTTATTTCTAAGCCACATTAGAGTTGTGTATTATTATTACTTTTCCACAACTTTTATAGTTTCATTTCATTTAACAATGGCAATATGTCAACTCACAGACCATCTCATCCCCAGTTTTTTCCCCCTTCCCAGTGAGTCAAGCTATCGCTAAACCGAATTATCATTAAGTGAATTAATGCTAATCGAATGATATCTGTATCTTTCTAAATTTACATGAATCAAAAACATTAATATGAATTCAACATTTTGGTTTATACATATAACATCATCTGAATTAGAAAACCTAATTAACTTTGCAGTACAACTACTAGGTTACTCTACTAACCAGATACAATTTAAAGTGATGTACCTCACCATGATACCAAGAAGTAAACACATGACTTACTCTGGGTGAAGCGCTCAGCCCTCCAGCCTGGCTCGTGTTAACACTTTCTCCTCCCCATTTGGTGTTTTCTGGGGAAAATTACAATAAACATTAAAAAAGGCATTACAATTTTATTCTTTAAAAAATAATCACAAGCTAAAAATATTAATTAATTTTTTTTTTTTTTTTTTTATGAAAGGAGCACAAGAACACAAAACACTGACTCATATCAGTGGGTACCAAAGATGTTGAAGGATCAAAATATTATATATGTTATACAGTGCCTCAGAAGGCATTCACCACACCACACTCATTTCCTTTTCTGTCCTGTACCGACAAATTTATATCTACATTCTTTTAAATGGGTAAAAACTATAATAATTTGCATTACAATTGTTGATCAGAATTTGATTTCCTGATTTAGATAACAACAATACTTAACATGAATTAAGTGTCCAGAATTCATTAAAAAAATATACACTATATAATATTCCTCACCTGTCTACAGTACACAGTATTATGAATGTTGGAGCCCATTGGGTATTTACCCGTAGGTAAAAAATATCATATACTGTATGACTCAAGTGGAAAAATAGAAAATATGAGGGTCAAGAAAAGACGTCCCTTTGGAGGGTCTTCTCAGTTTCCATTATTGTCCAGTTATTTGATAATGGGTATTAACCCTACTGCGATAACCACTATCGTGTAATAAACATAGCATTTGGGGACTATAAAAGTAGCTTATCCTTCTACTAAATAGCTTGAGTAAAAAATAATACAAAGGGAATTAAAACGAGAAGGGTTGACAAAGGAAACGCATTTTGTTAATTAATAGAGAAATGTCACAATTATGAAGGATACCCTAAACCATACCTCAGCTCTTGCCTGATTATATAGATAACAAGATCTCTTGCTACACCATTTTCAACAACTAGCTCATCATTTACCCATGGCTACAACACAGTTCCTGTTGAATTCTTAAGGACAAATATAAGTTTTACTGCAACTGTTATACACTTGGTGTGTTTTGGTACACAAAGTGTGGTTTTGACATACACCAACTTGATCTTACTCAAAGTAAAATAACACAGCCAGCTTGTTCCGTAGTTTGTGTGATATGAAATAAAACTGAGTTGTTCCATTAAGTTGCCAGTCATGGGATTGACTTTCGACCAAGGTGTCAAGAGTAACCCTTAATACACATTTTGTGACTGGAAGTGGTATTTCACTCATTCTTAGACTAGTTGACAATGAGCACTGGGATTGCCAAACTTGCACCTATAATATACTGTATGTACTAATAAGATTATAGATTGGAAATGGAGGGAATATCCAAAAATATTTTACCCCAAACAAATCCAAAAGCCTGGGCTATGCCCTCAAATGAAAGTGTCATTTACACAAGCATCTTCTTTCTTTTAGAAACAAGGGGTCCATCTACTGTATGTAATGGAAAGAAATAATATAAGAAGTTATCTCTACCTGCTGTGGTAAAGACATTATGGGTGGACATCATGAACAAAATGGGATTAATAACCATCACAAAACCATTCATTCACTCAGCCCCAATTAGGAAACAGGATTTTAGAATCAATAATTGGAAGTATGAGTAATTTTATGGTTGACAAAATGGGTGCGTTGTTTATCTTATGAATCTATAGTAGTTTTCAGAATACTGATAATTATTGCTCAATACAGTAGCCTTGGTTATTTGACAGCTACCTAAATCACTGCCATTTTCACAAGAAAAGCCACAATATAAGTGTTTTAAATGAACCACTATGCCAATACAACTACAGCGTATGTACACTTCCTGAGTTGCAGTCACAGTGTCACTCAGCCAGTGTTCACTCAAAAGCAAGGAAATTTGCCCTTACTCCAACAATTCCACTCACCTACATGCCTAAATTCTCAACAGCCACTTCTCCTTTCAGTTCAAATGAGAAAAAAAAAGTGAATAATATTTGTAGAGTAAGCGCACAAGTTGTGGCATGCTGAAATGCGATAAATGAAAACACAATTTGCAGCATATGACCAAAGGTTGATAGGATTTTGGCAACATATGCACAGCCATCTACAGTACAGTATTACCCCGCTTTACGCGGTTTCACATTCCGCGATTTCTCATTTACGCGGTGCCTCGCCAGAACCGAACTTTCACTTTCCGTGGTGCATCTACTCATATACACGGGAAGCAGCGCGGGCAGGATGCGCACAAGGTCGCCCAGTCATCAAAACATGACCGAGTTCTTCACCCGCCACCCACCACAGTCGGCCTAAATCAGTGATAGTGAGGATATGGACTTATATGGACTTTGAGGGGTTTGACAAAGAGGCCCTGCAAGCCTCTGTGGTGGATAGTGATACAATTGATACAAGTGATACAGGTGAGGGCCAATAATATGCCCTCTGTCTCGGAACCAACCCCCCATCCCTGTGTGCCCAGCCATCTTTTCTACAAATGTAAGTGTTAAAAAAACTAATATTATTGATATTTCTCTTAATTATTAATTGTGAGTGCATACCATCATAAAATTAAGGTGTAATTTTTACTACAACGTAAGTATTGTGTCTCAAAAAGTGGAGTTTGGGGGTCGGGCCAGTCTCTATTGGAATTAATCCCATATGTTCTGTTGTTCACTTTACGCGGTTTTCACTTTCCGCGGTACCCTGCGGGTTCAATTGACGGCGTAAATCGGGGTACTACTGTATATGATACAGACATGTGAGAAGTGAATGGAGCTGTGTGTCACAGCCAAGACTGAAATTTTCCACCCTGTACTGGGGAAAGTTTTCTCACATTTCACACAGTCAGACACGAGCTGTATTTATTTCTAAAAACCCCACTGTACACATACAATACATTGTAAATAAACAAAATAATGTATACTATTAATGTACTGTACTCACCAGCAGATGCTATCATCTTGCGCCTAAAGTAGGCATACACTGTCCACTCTGGTGACTGTACAATACAGTATAGTCTGCATTTACGCAGATTTGGTTTACGTGTTTGGTCATTTACGCAGCACCTTGCCAGAATGAAAATTTTTAATTAAGCGGTTCATTGCATCATTTATTCGGCGAGAGGTCCAGATGCACCGCGCCAATTATGATTCACGTGGTCCATTCTTGACCATACGTGGGAAGCGGCGCGGGGAGGGTGCGCAGTATGTCGCTGTTGCGTTATCGCTGATGTCATATGATGTATCGGACTGTGATTGGGTCACGCATCCTTACCTCCTTCCGCCGCTAGCTGTAATTGGTCTAATGTAATATGACGTGCCCAGCCACGGGAAGGAAGAAGCCACTGACCTAGCCCGGCCAGTTTCATTGTTCTCAGCCTCCGCGTATACTGTTCTCTCTTGTGCCCGCTAATCTGTTCAACAATGGTTTCCGCTGGACCCCCACCACCACAGAAAAACCTTGAATTACCTGGACCAAGCCGCCACCAAGCCCAAGAAGATACGACGCACCCTAAGTTATGAAGTAAAGTACAAAATCATCCAGGACTTAGAAAAGAGAACCCGACAAGTTGATCTCGCGCGCTAGCATGGAGTTAACGAATCTACGATTCGGACAATCAAGAAGGATGCCGTCAAGATAAAAGAACACATGAGCATCACAAAGTCTGCAGGTGCTTCAATGGTGAAGTATTGTCAGAACAAGGTGCTGCTCAAGACAGAGAATTTACTGGTGAGCTACTTGATTCGTCAGGCAAGACGTAACATGGCGGTCGACACGCGGGCAGTGCAGGACTACGCCTGTGAACTCTACGAATCAGTGGCGCGCAAGATGGGAATTGCAGAGCCCAAACCCTTCACTGCTTCCTCAGGGTGGCTGCAAGGGTTTAAGAAACGTAACAAGATAACCAACATTAACATTGTCGGTGAAGGAGCCAGTGCTGACCATGCTGCCACCATGGACTTTCCTCCATTCTTACGTGACATTATGGAGGAAGGACAGTACACCGACGACCAGGTGTTCAACATGGATGAATCCGGTCTGTTTTGGAAAAAATTACCTTCCAAGACCTTCGTTGTCAAGTCTGCCAGCAAGTGTCGGGGCCGGAAGTTGCAGAAGGAGCGCATCACCGCCCTGTTTACCACCAATGCCTCCGGCACCTGTAAGCTCAAGTTGTCGGTGATCCACACAGCCCACAAGCCGCACGCCTACATGAACATGGACATGACCAAGCTAAATGTCCACTGGCTAACTGCACGTAAGGCACGGATGTTCACTGGTCTGTCCCTCTCCTGGTTTGACGACTGTTTCGTTCCCGACGTTAAGAAATTATGCGAGCAACATAATGTTCCATTTAACATTTTGTTGCTCCTTAACAACGCACCAGGACACTCGCCCATACTGTTGGATCGTCACCCCAGTGTAAAAGTGGTCTTCCTTCCTCCCAACACTACATCGTTAATCCAGCCCATGGACCAGAAGTTGATATGCAACGTTAAGGCTGCATTCTCCGCAAAGAAGTTTAAGCTCCTGAACGACTACACAAACACCAAGGATGAGTTACAGAACCTTCTGAGTGGCACAGATAGTGAGGACGAGGATCCAGAAGAAGAGTTGGCGGAGCATGAAGTGCGAGTTAAACAGTTTTGGAAAATGTTTAACGTCAAGAAAGCTGTTGATTTCTTGGTGGAGGCATGGGGGCAGCTGTCCGTGGCAACAATTCATCACGCGTGGCGGCATGTGTTGCAGGATATCCCAGGTGGGAGGCAGAGTCAACCTGTGGCTGGAGAGGCTCAGTCTGTTGCAGTGGCAGTGGACCTTGCAAGAGAAGCTGCACAGAGTGTTACAGCTGCAGGCTTCTCCGAGACCACCAACGATGACATCATGGAGATAATCAGGGATCCTGAGGCGACTGCCGACGATATGTTGGAAGACGATGATGTCAGTGAGGAGGCAGGTGGTGCCGCAGCACTAGAACAGAAGTTAACACATGGTGATATAAAGGAGGCCATCGAGTTTGCCGAGAAACTCAAGCTCATCCTTTCCAAAGACCCTCTCAATCACCGATATGAAGTCTCCAATAACCATCTAGACCAAACTATGGAGCCGTATATCAAGATGTATC